CCGGTCCTTGACAAGATGCGAGTCGTGAAAAATAAAGATGAAGCCGCCGCGGATGGGGGGCTGTAATGATATGGTGTGCCGTTTCGTGCTGGGCTTTCGCTTAAAATCGATGGGGAATTATACTCAGAGTGTTGGGCTTTCGCGGTACATTACCAGACCAATGGAAGATGTGCACTCGGTACTATATAGTTGAGGATCATTTTGGAGAGTGGATGAGGACAGGTGGATGGGTGTATAAAAAATTTTGATTTTTTATTATTAATTAAGAATATAGTTCAGTGAGGATGAACCTTCACGGAATCAAGATTCTAGGTAGATAATGGAGATCTTGAACGGTACTTAAGATCAATATTTGATGTTGCATGGTAATTATTATTGGTGCGTCGTGTTTAAAGGATTCTTTGCTACCTGCCTATCTTCCTCTAATGAAGCTACGTTTTAATTGATTTATTAATAGAACGTTGCTGCCAGTGCAACCACTCGTATCCATTCTAACCTATAAGAACGTGCTGCGCTATATTTTGTGGCATCGACCAATGGTCAGCCGCGGTTCTTGTTTTGCTCTATGTTAATTGATTATAGGTCGAACCCTCGGCAGACCCAAAGACCCCAGACCCACCGAAACCTTTCATGCATAAAGTCTTGTTTGGTTACCTACCATTCTCTGGCTGGTCCTGGAATCATGCATAAATCTATAACAAGCACAATCTACGACGATACTCGCCGCTGGCTAACCAACCCCAAATTACCTAATAGTCCATGAGGAAATCTCTTGATTATCATAGGAGGAATAATTTTGTGTATCATCCACCACGTCATAACCAAAACACACAAATCAGGACTCAAGCGATACATTTGCAAACTTACAAAAATACGTTCTAGTAGTATTTTCGAATTTTACATTCATATTGAAAATTTTTCATTGAATTTTCAAAAAGACCATATGCTGCACCCATTATGCGTACACATGACGTTTTTAGGGTATACTTCGAAATGTTTTCAATTGGCCCATAGAGTCCCAAAATGGACGTCTCCGACGATTAAGTATTATTTGTCTAATGATCGTCACCCCTGGTAATTTTTCTCTTATACCGAGATAGCGTCCCTTTTTTTTTACTTTTTTTTTTCCTTCTTCGTCTCTCTCGGACGTTCAAACTGACAGACACGGAACCGGCTGTCCCATCATTTGTTTCGAACTCTCGTCACTCATTTTTCATACGTTTACGTTAAGTCTCTCTCTCTTTCTCTCTCTCTCTCTCTCTCGTTCTCACTAACCTTAGTATCTCATTGGCGCTTTCCTCCTTCCTCGTGTTTTCCTCTCGGGCGGCATCGACGGCAACAGCGAGACGTCGAGACGACGAAACGGGCTCTTGCTCGAACGCGGTCTCTTTCCGCCCTTTGTTCTTCACAAGTTTTCTTCCCGCGGGCAAACAAGCGCAGGGGGAAACAAAAGACAAATTACAAAGACGGCCATCATGTGACCCTTCCCACCTGTCTATAGATGGGAAGACTGCGCTGCCGAGGGACAAAGAGTAGGAGGAGAGGGACCATGGCCAGCCACTTGTACTCTCACGCGTGCGTGTCTGCTCCCTGAATTCATTTCTCTCTCAATTTCACTTCTTTCGCCTATCCTATCGTTTTATTCGTCCGTAGCTTCTTTTCCAAGTTCCATGATCACTTTGTGTACACTTTTTATTCTTGCAGCAAGGATATCAAAGCAAACCTCAGTCCGATCCTTTGTTCGTGAGACTTCGCAATGGCTACTGATAACATTTGAAAATACAAAATAATCAGACAATAATTCATTTTCGAGTCTTATACAAATGCATCGTACGAGTTTACGTGGGACACCGTAATCTGAACTTAAATAAGTAAATCTACGTAATGACTGAGCGAAGTTTTCAAAAAAATTTTTTATCAATGTAAACATCATAGTGATTCGAAATCGATTATGAAATTCCGTCATAAGAACGACTGTACTAGCTTTCCCCTTACAACTACCATGTATAGTACGCTAAACTCTGCAATAATTACTGCACCGGTATCTGCATCATAACCCTGAAGCATTAAAAAAAATGTTTCTATCCAATTTTATATATTTTCTATCCAGTGTCTCCCATTCCCTAAATTTAGCCGCACGTTACTGCCCTAGCAAAAATAGATTCGTGCACACATTCAGAGTGTTAACTTTTATAAAAGAGTGCCAACCATAGGACAAAACTTAGTTCACGCTGTTAGATCTTAACAAATAGATGTCGATGTTGTCACTGCTTAAATAAGACCATTGGACAAACAATGGGACGCATCACTCACTGACTCCTCCGCTTGCGCAGCCAGCATCCTCCGTCATAAGGGGACGAAGAGCGTCCTCGTGGAGTACACGGCCGAGCATCGCCCGAGTTCCGAAGTGCGAAGCGACGGCCGTCGGCTCCGGCAACGTCGTTGCAGCCCCGATGAATGACGGACCGTCCCAAAATAATACGACGTCCGGCGTCGCGATACTCTCGTCCTCCACCGTACGGTTGCATTGTTATTTCCCGAACCATAACGGCGTCCTTCTGTTTTTTTTTTCATTGTCGGCAGCTCGGACGCTTATAAATACGTAACCGGATAAACATGCAAGAACAAAAACGAAGTCACTGATCCTGTGGACGATGAAAAGCTTCATCCCGTCCTGAAAGGCAGTATTTTTAACGTGACGAAAAAAAAAAAAAAAAAAAAAAAACCCCAAGTCTTGCAAATTTCATATTTTCAAGTTGACATGCCTGCCATAATCTTTTTGGATGTATAATAACAATAGTATGTAACTCAGATTTTTACCATCCTCTTTGAACTACCTAAACAGCATAGTTTGAGGATACGATGTAGTCGAAAAGTTAGGGTAAAGCAGAAATAAGACTAATTGGAAATTCTAGACGAGGAGCCGTCCTAAATCAGCAGGGGTCCAACTGAAGTATTTACTATGGAAGTGCTTAGCACGATGCTCTGGTCACGTAAATCGACGCGGTCGGGTCGCGCGTTGGGATCTCTTAATTTATTTCTTTTTCTTTGCTCTTGGACTCTAATATAGGAAGGAGAGTGTAGCGTAACGGAAGCGATAAGGAACAACATGATTTTAGTGTAACGCTGCCTATTTTAGTGGCTGAGATCTATTTCACTTCGCACGTAACCCCGTCGGCTCTCGGCTGTCGACTCTGTGACTTCGTCTGACAGTCCATCACCTTGTCCGGTTTGTGAAAAGCGAAGAGCCAACGGTGCGCGACGTTGATATTTTCGTCTGGTATCGTGGTGAGCGCTGAGTCAGGGGCTAAAGACGTTGGAAATATCGCGACCTCGCCGTTTCTCGATACACGTGCTTCTTAATTGGACTAGGGGTGTCGTCGCTCTTTGCGACTTTGAAAGAGATGAAAAATGAAACAAGACCAAGTTCACGTGTACTGGGTACCCTGATGTCTGTCGTCGTCCGCAAAGTGGCTGGAAATAATTGTATAAAAATTTCAATGAATTATTTTGACATGTCCAATCGATGGGAACGTCCCAGATCCTAAGATCCTTGCTGCTAATAAAATTTCTCATGTTTAGATACAAGGAAATCCTTGAAAATCCTTAAATAAGTATTGTTCGCGTTTAGAACGATCCGGCCCATAGAATTTAGATGGTTCGGCGATCAAACGAGGGAGGATATGTAACGTGCGGGAAGTGTGTGCAATAGGCGTGGATCCTTTTGATTGACAGGTTCGTCTAGCCAATCACGGGACCGGAATGCTGATGAGGCCCACGTCAATCACGCGATACTTTCATCTCACCCCCTATGCTCCCTCTTGGCTCGTTCGTTCGTTCTACCCTCTCTGCCTGCTCGTGTCCCCCTTCGCTCCTCCAGGCCTCCTATAGCCGTACCACCCTCTCCCGGTCCTTCGCCACGTCGCCCTTTCCGCCTCCCTGACTCACCCCTGTTGCAGAGCTCTCGGCCACCCTTACATCCGCTCGCACGCCATGGGGTAGTTTAGCCTCTCGGCCTCTTCCAAATACGAGTCTCCGTCCTCGGCGCAACACCAGATCCTCGTATTACGGGTTACGAGCTGCTAAAATACGACGTCGACTTTAAGGCCTCCGTAGGAACATCCGTCCTTATCGTAATGGCTGGATCGTCAAGTCGCAGGAAGCGGCGGCTCTGATGCCTCCACGGAACAAACAGTCGAGCAGAAGAATCAAGGATAATCCATTCATACAAACATTTTTTTCCTTGCGTCCTTTTTTTTTTCTTCAAGCTCTGTAAGGGAAACGCATGGTAATTAGGACTTTCATGGTGAAAAAGTTTAGGGCTGGGGGGGGGGGACTCTGCTTTGTACGAGAGCGCAGTTCAGATAGTTGCAAAATTGAAGAGATTAGGAAGTACATGTAAAACATATATAGATCATCGTAATAGTCTCAAAGTATATATATATATAATTAAATTTGTGTCTACAAACGATAAGATCTCAGACACAATTAACGCGAGGAATTTTGGATGCTGTGAATACGGTATGAGTTTCTATCCAGCTTCTTAAGGTTCCCTTGTTATCGCGAGACAAGTTTCTTGCCTGATAATAATTAGGCGCTGTTCAAATTGACACGAAATACCTGTAGTTTCAGAACTTGGCCGTAAAGTTTCCAAGGAGTGGTGTTATAAGCTCCGGAGAATGTACCTCGACGTTGTCGAAACCTTCGGATCTTGTATTGTTGACGCATCGTCGTCTTAGCTTTTGTTCGTAGAGTCATTAATTAAATTACTATTTGTCCGCGAAAATCAATTAGAAGAGCCATCCTTGGTAAACAGTAGCAACTCGAGACGATTCGATCATCTCCTGATGTGACTACCTGTATGTGACAACACTACGGTGTCACTCGATACAATCATCGGCTGAATGTCGCACCTGCAGAAAAACAGTAATATGCAATTTAGTAAAAATAAGAAATTTTTCCACTGACGATAAACATGTTTGTCGATCGTTTGATTGCAGAGAACGGTCTTCCCAGAAGATTACGAACGGCGTACACGAACACGCAGCTTCTCGAGTTGGAGAAGGAATTTCATTTTAATAAGTATCTCTGTCGACCGCGACGAATAGAAATAGCCGCGTCGTTGGATCTTACGGAAAGACAGGTGCGTAGACCAATGACTATTATCGAACTGTTAGCTGGCAAGCCTTTGGAAACAAAGCGATATTACTTTTTTATTTTCATTCTCCCCTACCAAGAGACCGGACAAGACCAAAGAGAGCGTCTCTATCGAGCGAGATCTAATTCATCGGAAACGAAATTATGGGAAACGACTATTGCGTGTTCGACTTGCCCATTTTTCCTTTTTTTTTTTCGCCAGTGAAATATTATACCTATTAGTACCTGAAACTTCACTCTATATTTACTCGTCTCTTGATATTCCCAGGTGAAGGTGTGGTTCCAAAATCGTAGAATGAAGCACAAAAGACAGACTTTGAGCAAAGAAGACGGAGACGACAAGGACGGGACGTCATCGGACAGCGTGGACAAGTCGAAGAGCGACAAGATGTTGCTGCTGGACGAGGACGAGAAGAAGAGCTGCCACAACTGTGATATTTCTGGAGTGGGTGATGTCGGTAGTTCCCTGGGCGAAGTGACGGAGTTGGGCTCAGGTCGTGGTAGCAGCAACAACAACAATACGCCGAGTGCAACGAACAACAACAACACGGGGTTCAGTACGAACAGCAACGGCGCCAGTAGTGTCGGTAGTACCAACAGCGTGTCCAGTTCCTTCGAGAAGATGATTGCGGATGACGATTCACGGTCGCAGGACGGCAGTGAAGTGACGTCCCCGAGTATAACTACGAAGAAGCTTTCCGCCGAGGTTAGAGTTAAGGTGGAGGTAGGCGGCGGTCACAAGAGTCCCAATCCTGCGAAACAAATATCCGTAAGCAAAAAGTCCCCCTCGGCAAACTCCAAGGACATTTGTTCCGTAACGAGCAACGGCGTGCTCCTGGCGATGCCCGATTCGACTGTGAGCACGCCAGCACTTCCTGGACAGAATTCAACGAGGAGCCTGACGCCGTCCTCTACGCCAGGTACCCCGGCGTCCGTTCAGCTTCAGCAAGGAAGTCCTCTGGGTATACAGGCGGCGGCCCATGCTGCTTATATGCAGAGACCACGTAGTTCACCATCTTCAGCAAGTTCCGTTCCCACTTCCGTTCTTCATGGTCCCGTGAATCCTGGAACTATGTCACCTCACAGTGGAAGAAACGGTGTTCCGGGAAGTGGTCCGAGTCACTTTCAGCAACCGCAGCAACAACAACAACAGAATGTCTATCAGCCGTCAGCGATTGACTATAGAAACGGCGTTGCTGCAGCCAGACCAGCGATACCCACTGTACCACAGCAGGCGCAAGCTCAGCAAAGTACCTATTGCTCCAGGGACGCTTACCAGCAACGAATCTCGTATCCTGGTGAAGTTCATCCCTTGTACTCGAGACAAGGACAGGTCGTCAGTGCGCGAGGACATCACGCAAGAACGGGTACCACTGCTAGACCGGTTTACAATGCTTCCATGCAGTTCCATCAGCAGCAAGCTCAGTACGCAAACACTGGAGAGTACAATGGCTACGCCCAAACGGGTGCTTATCATGCGTCTTATCATAGAAATATGCAAGGAAGCAATGCCTACGCCACTGGCCAAGGATACACCGGTACCCAGAATGATCATCAAGCAGCTGAGGGATACATCGCTGGCAGCAATTACGGTTATCCTGCAGGTGCATATCATGCTCCTGGTGAGAATCTTGCATCCCATGGGCATACTACCGTATCTGCTCAACCTGGACAACATTATTATAATGAGATACAGCAACAGCAACAACACACGACTGAAGGTTACGTTACTCACCAGACCTCGATTCATCCCAGTTCGACTGACTATCGAACTGGAACCAAGTGTCATCCTGGTGCCTACTACGAGCAAACTAGTCAGCTGCACTCCCATCAGGGTGGCGAAGCCTCTAACATTCCCAGCAGCTATGTCTCCTCACCGGATCCTTTTCCAGCTCCTGGTATGACGACCACGGCGACCGCGATAGCCGCGGCAACTGCCGCTGTCATTACTCCGCCGGGAACCACTGGACAGACGGACAGTAATAACGAGGCTTACGGCAATTTTGGTAACTTTTATGGCGAACCTGTTCACACTGCTGCTCCGCCACCCTCTGCGGATAACAGCAACAGCTCGTCGGACTTCAACTTCCTCAGCAACCTGGCCAACGACTTCGCACCTGAATATTATCAACTTAGTTGAGTCCACGAGAACGATAATCATTCGCAGATAGACTGGAACGACGAGCAGTACTTGCTCAATGAGCTCTACTAGTTCCTCCAGTGTGCGTACCTCCTATATCCAATTTACAAAGATATACAAACTGTGTATGTAATTAGATATTAATGGAATACGCAAATTGATAGGAACAAAGGATTTATTAAATTCAAGGATGCTGCCGAGTGAAGTAAGTGCAATCTATTCACAGGTGACTAATTGTCTTGTTGAGCTATCAGTATCTACGTTGACCGGGCGAGTGGATGGTAAAAGAAGTTAAAAATCTTGGTGTCTGAAACATTTTACGGGACAGATGAAAAGGCGGGATTTTTTAAATATACGATAAGGACTGGTTTACAGGAATCGTTTGATTATACAGGGAATTGTAATTATTGTTGTTAACAGATCGTGAGAATATCGTTGATCGTTATTGGTGACCACTCTTTTGATTTTAAAAAATTTTTTATTCCGTGGGAATCATATTATGATAATAAAGTATGATAAAGTAGTATACAGAGATACGAGTCAGTCAGTTCAAAAGTTTGTACAGACAATTTTTTATTATTCGCATTGATTCCATAACTCTTTTGATTGAAATTACTAAATATGACTTTCATCAGATTGATACTAATGAAAATCAGCTTTATGAATTCTTCGATTACTTTATCTCTATTTATTAACCTACGATGATTCAAGGTACAAAATAATAAGGTACGATCTTTCGGAATCGAATTTAATAAGCTTAAGTATAGTGGCATGTATTCGATCAATAACGCATCTACCAGTCCTTATGTTCCCCGCACGTTTTATACTCGCTCGGCCTTAACGAGCTCCAATTGACTGTGGATAAATCAGCGTAGAATAGCGAAGCAATTAGTTGATGCTCGTAAACAGTAGTTAACGAGAATATGACATAGATACGCAGCCGTACGTACGTATCGATACTGCGAGAAAGTTAGCTGCGAGGAGACAAACCGAGAATTATGCTCTCATTAAACTACGAAAATCGCATCTACGCAACAATCACGCCTAGGATATTAATTAAGTATACTAAAAATATTTATAAACAAAAAAGCAAATAGGCGCAGCATATTAGTTTTAAACAAAAGAAATAATTCTTCACCTACTGACTATTGTACATCCGACTGTTTGACCATTAAGTGAATTAACGATATCGATTTTACTTCCACGTCCCATACGACCTGTAACTATCTATCTGTATTTACGTCCGTATGCATACCATGCAATTCCTTGTTGATCGATTTTATCGAACGTGCTGTAAAATCGATTCGTACTGATCCCGTCACGCTTAGTGAATCCGGCATTTTTTTACGATGTTTTTTTTCTGTTTTTTTTTTATATATATACTTATACAGTGTCTTTTAGTTCAAATTCATTAATCGAAGTTAGCGGATTCGATTGATTCTTAACCCGGAGCTAAATTGAGTTTGTATATTTGAACTGACTCGTTTCTGTATAATATAATTTCAAACTAAATTTAACAGTCTAAGCGATACTCAACTGTATCACTGTATAAATACGTAGCTACGTTTAACGACCTAATTTTAATTTCCATCGAGCGAACTACTTAATATGCTGTCTTTTTTTGTATAAAATATTACGAAACCATCGTTGTTTATATAAATATATAGATTCCTTGTAAATATTACACTGTACGGTTAATCGTATATCGTTTATCCATCCTGATTGTACGTAAGAGTTGTAGAATGCGAGTCTACAACACCGTAAAATTATCGCACTTGTACATTCGTTCACTAACACACTTGTCAAATACAGGTTATAGCGAAACTTCACATAAGGAATAATTCTTTACCGAAAGCCCTAAAAAAAAAATGAAAAATCAAAATATTCCAAAATAATCTTGAAAGCAGTGATTAACTAGAGACAAAAAAAAAGGTGATAATGATAATGATAAAAATATATTGATGTCAGTGATTTGCAATCGTCACGAGATTCATTTCAATCGATAGTATCCGAAAAATTATCCACTTTAATAATCTTTGAATGACGTCGGAAATCGATAGAAAAAGTAGATTGAAAACTTAAGAAAAAAAAACAAAATATACTAATTTTCATAATATAGAAATCTGAGGAAACAGAAACGTAAAATCAAAGAAATATCGTGTCAAGATTTCCGTATGTATACGAAGGTTACGGTACGTAGGAACGTCGTGTCAGTGAAGAGAGCATGACAATGATAAATGACTGCGTGTGATGCGTGTGAGTCAGGCCCATACGACGCCGTGGTACGAGCCTCATATGTGACCTCACGTGCTGTCGAGACACCGAACGTTCCGCCGTTCATTCCTACGACCTTCCGAACTATTGCCTACGTTGCATCTGCGCCATTGAACCCCTAATTCGATTCGATCAACCCCCTCATAGAAGTTATCTCGAATCGGTTAATTTCCAGGCAATTACTTAGAAATACCATGAAACCATCCACATGGCGAGTAAGAGTGAAAATGAGAAAATAAAAAATTTCACGGAAAAAAGTTTATTTTAAAATTCAATTTTACTCCGAAAAAGAATAATTTAATTAGGTAATCATGTAAGCGACTGAAATTTTTTTAGACTGACCACCACATAATTCTCATGGAGTAATGTACTGAGGGATAAGGAGGTTATCGAGTGACCACCGAGGGTGGACCATGGAGTCTGGCAAGAGTCAAGGGTTAACCAACCACCCTGAGCTAAAAGCCAAGCCCAACCGAGCAAGCGTTGCCACCATAAATCTCAGGGTCGTCGAGGGACGACTCATTCACGCCACTTCGCTTTCCCTCCGATATCTTCAGAGAAGAGATTGCTCGTCTTGGTCCCGCTGACTGACTATATACCTAAGTGGTCCTGGGAACGTCTGTACCGGGACATTAGGGGGTTAAAAAAGAGCGATAGGATCCTCGCGGTTTCCATAACACGAGTAAAAATAAGTAATTACTCAATAATAAAAAAGGCAAACTGTGAATAGACACGTAAGTCCTTAGACAGTTACATAATTCAATATACAAACTGATTATTGATCGATCTTGAACTATTGAATTTCCAAAAAATAAAAAATTATTACAATATAATTCTCCACGAAATATTTCAATATATATATACCAACTAACCGCGTGCTATGGTATCGTTGCAATCACTTTTAAACTGACAGTTTTAATTTGTACCATTAATAACATTCTGATGTTCCATAACAAATATGTACGATCACAGAAATTGAATATCTAGTTTCCATAGCTACGTATTACAAAAGTGACACAACAAACGCTTATTAACTAGACTATTCCACTGTCCCACATTATTGCCGTCCACGTGTCCAATCCGAAATCATCCCTTTATCCTCGCTGACACGATTGTACCAGGAACATAACATATGAGCTTACCAAGTCCGTTCACTTTCATATACAATATTGTTCAAACAACTGCTTTGCATCAGTCGATACACTCTATCAACGGTACTTGACCTATTCCTCACTAAAAGGCAGTAAGATGTACCAATAGCCATACGCCAACAGACCCTGTAAATAAAAGCACCCATCAATATATCATTCGTCAACTTTTGATAAATGTATGCAAATTTTATTTAAAAAAAAATGATTATATATCCAATACCACTGACGTACCCATCCAAGGCTAATTACCATATGTCATCAATAAGATTCCCATCAACATTTCCATATTTGCAACCGACAGGTGTACGAGAGAGAGAGAGAGACCAGACGGGATTAAAGAGTGAGAAAGACGGAAGAGGAGAAGAAGAACTAATTAAAGATCTAGAGCCACAAGGCCGAAAAGGGCCCGAGAGGAGCTCAGGACAAGGAAGCAACAGTCTGTTCTCGTTTGGATGTGCGTGCCGCAAGAGAAATGTTGTGAACGCTTAAACGTTAACAAATGTAGATAGAGGATAGAGGTCCCAGACAGGACAGGTAAAGGCTTCGTGCTGGTGACTAAGTGAAGGAAGACCGCTTCGCTGGCGGCTGCTTTTGAGCCCGGTTTGTCATGGTTCGCATGATAGATGAAGGAAGCAAAGTCCCATACTCACGCGTTCCAGTACAGTGTTAACTTTAACGCCATAGCCACCTTGCGTCTGGTTTCTCACAAGCAAACTTTCATTCCGTACTGCAAATAGAATCTACCGCTTCTGCAGTCTTCCTTTCCTTTTTTAATGATCCCCATAGTCTTCGTCCTTGCGATTACTTGTATGAACGATCATAATCTAGGCAGAGATATATTTATACAGTGTATACAAATACCTCCGTGAAATTGAGAAATTGGCAGACTACCGTCGTTACGCTAATGTCGTACGAGTCCTAGCTCTTACGCTAATGTGATACGAGTGACGATTGTCAGATGGCGCTGCGATCGTCGAAAGGCACAAAAAGACTTTGACACCTGAAAACAGAGATAAAATTGTATTATCTTCGTATATAATTCAGACGTGTTAGGTTAGGTTTACTTACGTTCAATTTTGCCGAAATTACGTAATGAGACGATTCTACTTACTTCGAGGTTATGTCGTCTACTCACGGTAGTCGGATATTCTGTTCGACGCATTTTCCAGCCTGACTAAGAAGTCAAGGGTTATCCCTCGATTGGGCACGCATCATAAATCTTCTGGGGGACACGAGGGTGCTGCGGTCCTCGTAGTGCCCTCGGGGTACCCTCAGACTGATAGTATCCGTCGTGCGGTAAGCGTGCAAAGCCCGACGCATCCCCGGATGGCCTAGAAACTACTATGGCCATCGACTCACTGACTTCACTCGTATAGTAATCGTTACGATGATTAGTGGAACGCCGTCACGACAGAATTCGAATACCGGGCGGAGCAGGATCATCTTCATGTGCTCAGACACTCCCCGGCAGTTCATTAATTTTTTACAATGGAAATTCCAGGTGAGAGACAAATCTAGATGAAAAAAAAAGAAAAGTATAAGAAATATTTAATATCTTTTCTAATTCACTAATATTACATACACGTATACGCATGCTTCTAAACCATATGTTTCTTGCATAATAATAATTAGTGGATTCATATAAGATTATATGGAAAATAAAATAATTCAATTTTTTTTCACTTTTTACTTTCTTTACCATAGGATTTATCGCGTGGTAGGAGATTTTCTGAATTTGTTATTTATTATCTTTTCTATACCGGAAGTGCTCGGGAGAGCCCATCCTCGACTCTTTATCAATCTCAAGTTATTATCAGTTATCCGAAGGGGTAAAGGGTCTCCTGCGTGTAGTCATGTAACTACATAAATATACTGACACGTACAGGTACACAAGCCGCTGAACAACATCGTGTAAAATGACTAATGATCCGAGGTAGGTGTAAAGTGAAGCGGCTATTGATTCGTGGATGCATAAGTGACACGTCTATCGGCTACCGAGCCACCAGTCATGCTGAGGTTTTAACTCTTAGCACAACGAACCCCACGAGCACGACTGAACGACTGGCTAGTAGAAGCAGAAGACTGGAAGATAAACGGTTTCGACCTGTAACCAAGGGGTACCTCTTCCGGCGGGATGCGGAATTTCATTTCAATAATATCTCAACCCTGCAATGTATATTTTGATTTAAAAAATTATTCGCGATCAGTATTAAAGTAGGAATAAAGAAGATTGTGTAATTTTATATGTATGGGAAAGAAAAGTGATATAGATTATTTTGAAAAAGGGAAATTGACATAGGATGAATTTTTTTGGTGTTAAAATAATATTAAGAGTAACGATTACAAGGGGGGTAGTTCGGGAGAAGCGTACGAGGGGGGTTCTGGGCTTTCTTTGTGGTTCCAATAAAGTTATTGTCATGCTGTAAAAATTGCTGAAAAATACGAATTTTGGATTCTGACATTTTTCTACTGGCCCGAAGGTCGTTTCAACCCTGAAGATTAGTCATAGCCTTGGTCGGACGGACACAGGCCCTCGTTCTCTCTATAACCACCCCTACTGTCTGCCCCAACCTAGAACCCCAAGGCTTCCCCAGGCATTAATCATTATCCGTAAAACAATATAGATAATTAATACGTGGTTTAACATAATTGGATACATGGATTCGCTGTAATGGGATGGAAATCCAAAGTCCGCTTTTGAACGATCGATCACGCTGGGAATATAATACACGCATCTACGAAAAATAGATACGCTAAAGGTAGGTATATCTACATACCTTTTTTGCTTGCCGCTTCTTCTTTCCAATTCCAAGAAAGTCGACTAACCTTTTTCAGATCTAGATATGCCCACCTCGTTTCCACTGCGGAATCAATAATGGCCGCGGGAGAGTTTTGGTCTGAAACAGACAAAAAATTACTACGCAGTTACAATTCGATCAATTCACATCGCACGAATAATTTATTAGCTTAGAAATCGATGAGGGAGGGTTTTCGTCCATTGTCCAATAAGCAAACGAATAATGTCACGTACATGATGATGTCTGCGCGATCGCATTACTGTTTTTCCCTTCCCCAAATAGCCAAAGATATGTATCAACAAAGGAGTAAGATAACCAAAGAATTGATATAATGTATCTCGAAGGAGTCTTAAAAAATATTTAATAACGTTTTGTAATTTTCGAATTTCCCTGTACTCAGGATGAAATAAAAATGATACGTCGCTATAATAAACGATGTACAGGATCATCTAGAAAATTTAATCAAAACGCTTGTCGCCATATTTAGCAGAATGAAAATTGGATTGCCTTTACTTCCCGAAGATCGACGTATATTCCGATTAGTGGCCAGCTACGTGACACGAGGATGCTTTGTCGTTAAATAACGCGTGACTTTTATCCTACAAGATAAATAACGTTTTGTTACCTCCCCGTTATTTGTCATAGACCCCACAATAGACATTTTAAATTTTCGCGGGCCTTTAGCTTTACC